CTAATTCTATGAAAAAACTAAAAACATACTTTTAGCTCGCCATGGGTAATGCTAATATGATAACATATTTGTTCTTATCTTTTACTACAAGAAGCTAGATAAGCTTACAGACGTGTTTAGCAATATATACTTAGAAGTACGTTAGAGTTATCTGTATCAAAAAAACTTATCTTAATTCAATTAACTCTAAATCCCATCAGATGATATTTTCCAAGTCTATTTTTCATACTTCATGAGAATAAACTATTTCTAAATTGTTTATAAAATTATTCCTAGTTCGTCTTGTCATGCTGCATTAAACCTTATATAGATATGTAAGAATAAAAATTTTGCTCTAGTTCTGCATTCTTTTCATTTTACATTATTAACTTTTTTTAATATTGCTAAAAGTAATGTCTATTTTTGTTTAAATAATACACGATTCCATTCTCTCTTTCTAGTATAATGTGAAAGAAAAACGTTTCTAAGAAAAAATGCAGGTCACTATGCTCATCTATATTATTTGCATTATTGTTTTTCTAGGAAAATCCGCCAAGATTGTTTTTTTTCTTTTTGGCTGATGAGACGACAAGAAATTTCTAATTTGAAAAGAATTTTGTCCCCTTAGAAATCAAATCTGGTTATTTCTCATCATAGTATCGGACGATTTCTTGAATAATTTAACAAGATTTTTGTGTTTTATTTTCTTGATTAATATAGATCTGTTATAATTCCGTTTTCACTGCTATTATATTTTTTATTTTAGTGTTTCCGGAAATTTCAAACATTAAAAAAATGAATAGAGTAGTAATATAACAAAACAAAATAAAGTATCGATAAAAATAAAAACAAATAAAAGTTCATATCTATTATAATCAACTATTCATCGATTATTAGATCATCGAAAAACTGAAGACAAAGACAAAATCATTTCCTTTTTAAATGTTAATTTATGTTTTTTTGTATAGCACGTGAACGATGAAAAATTAATTGTAGAAATCATTGAAGATGTGAAAGACATTTACTGAATGCATGACAAAACTAGTGTTTTTGACATAAAAACTCCCACAGGAAAGAGTTAATCAAGTTTTTGCTTCGACAGATATCTGAGCTAGTAGACATGCTTAAACACATACAATCAATTTGTTTAAAGATAGTTCTTGAAGCTATTTTTCAAATAGTCTTTGATGAAACTATGCATCATCTTGGTTATGGTACTTCATGTAGTCATGAGGAAGGTTATTTGGTTGATGAAGTTTATCGATTAGATCAAGTACCAGAAAAATGCGTAGTTTTTTTATCTATCGGATAAGATGGGTACAAGATAATTATGACACATTCTGATGCAGAATAGTAAAAATAACTTTATGAATATATTATTGGAAGTTGTTGATATGACATTCGATATCTTGAGTATTAGTCAATGGTCTTTGATTTCTCATTTCCTTAATAATTAGTTTTAGAAAATTATTGATATATTATGGATGTTTAGAAATCTCACTTCTTTCTATATTTGCCCGTGTTTTAAAGAGTATTTGGCTAATATTCACGCTAGAATAATAAAGGAATTGGTGTAATATCAATTATTCCACAACGGCAATATTTATTGATTTGTAGTTTTCAGCAATCGAAAGAGTAGAACTTCGGATGTTTCTTTGTCTGATACGGTATGAGACAAAATTATTTTAAAACTCATCATCTTTGCAAAACTTTCAAAAAAAGAAGCATGAAAACGTTGTTAGTATTCGAAAAGAAAACTTTGATAAAAAGTTAGAATATTTACTTGAAATCAACTGAATTCGATCTAATTTAACCAAGTGGGTACGTGATTTTGTTTGCTCAATATTGACATATGAGAAGTTTATCACATGAACCGTGCCTTGAACTATCAATCTAAAGTTTCTCTACCGGAAGCATATGTCTAAATCAAAATTCTCATGCATTTTTTGTTTTGAAAGTCTTGTGAAGACGATGACTTTTAAAATGATTTTGTCCCATATAGTTTCATTAAAAAAGACATCTGGAGTTCTACTCTTTTAATTGCTGAAAAGTATAGATCGATAGCTGTTGTTGTCATCAAGTTATTAATATTACACCCATCCCTCTTTAATTCTGGCACAAACATTAATTGTTTTTAGACAAGATGTAAAACATTGTTTCCAAGCTAAATTACTACGTCAAATCATAGCTGCTGAAGAGTGTTCGATTAGAGTTCTTCGAGTTCGAAGAAATTGAACCGATTTATGTATAACGTATCTCGAATTGGTCACCTACCATTACTTCATGTATGTATTGTATTTCTTTAGTCATCCGTGTCTAAAAAAAATTTGATTGATCGAAATAGTTGCTAATCGTTGTATGGACTGCTATATCTGAGATAATGAATTTTTCCATTAAAGATTAATTGTAAAATACTTTCAACATATACCTTCAAACAAATCGATTATGCGCAATTAAGAATGGCTACTAGCTCAAATGTTTGTTGAAGCAAAAACTTGATTAACTCTTTATTATACGCTTTCATCTGTCAAAATCACTACTTTTGAAATGCTCTCTGTGCATAGATATATAAGAAAGAAAGTATATTCCATAGACTTAAACGATAGGGACTTGAAATGAAAAATTCATCTGTGTCTGTAGCACAGTTACAATATGATAGGTATGGTACGAATGACTCCATAGGGTGACAACAAATGGGTACCTACGCATTAGGATTTAAATTAATCGACAAGTAATATTCCAGAGTGAAGAATACAATATCCGTATAGATCGTGAAACGATCGTATACGCCAATATACAAGCATGCTTGTTCTACCTCGATTCTCTTTAAAAATGACAATGATCGTTATGAAACTATTGAATAGTTCGATCGATTGTTCAATGCTCTACACATAAGATTATGATTAACAAAAAGTACATTACTTGAATAATGTGAAATTAATTTTTTTTTGCAATAGATGCAACACTGATACAAAATCATTGTAAAAAATTGTATTGATTTCTATGTTATTCTACTAAATCTACATATACAATAACTGTCAAAATTATTGAACCAGTAGATGCAATTATTTTATTTTGCATATAGCTCAGAAAAAAAGATGTGCTAGAATGATTTAGTTTTCGTCAGTTTACAACTCATAGTCTCTTGTATACTGGTTAAAAAACTCCAGATTAATCCATTGGTCTATGTAGTTTTTATTTACGATACAATCATAGCATGTCATTGTTTTTATTCTTTCAAAGTTATTTAACAGCTTTTTTATGCAAACTAAATTGAAACTATTTTAAGTTGAAATTTTCTTTATACAAAATGATTTAATAGAACAAATTATGCTGTAAATAATGAATATATTTCATAGTAGCTTTCTTTTAAGAATGGATTGAACAACAATGTATGCATAATTGATAACGAAACTTTTTAACAACAACATGGCGCAAATGATTTTTTTTTTCCATGAGATATTTAATTAATTTATTTCTAAATATAGCATCAGCAAGAGCACTACAAATTGCATAAGTTTTTCTGACTCAATAAAAATTTCATATTAGAAAATTTTGTTGGTTCTCTTCAATGCGTAGACGAATAACGGATAAATCTTCTTATATAGTCCTATTCACGCATTGAAGGAGATATAAAAAATTATTTTAACAACGTAGATTTGTAGGGAACCTCTATAACTACAAAAAACTTATATTTGAAATAAAACTCGATTCAATTACTTAAATTATATACTTTTGTTACATTATAAATAGCAAGAGTAAAAAGCTTGTCATAGTCCCAGGAACAGCCTTAGTGTAGAACTTATTAGTCAAGCACATAATTTTTGCGTGTCACACGTCTATGTAAATAACATTTACAAAATTGATTTTTCTTTACAAACATGAAAACAAACTTTCATTTTTACGAACTAATTGGCTTTCGACCAGGCCAAACGTTACAAAATCTCATTTCCTTCTACACTGTAACATCTATCTCGTCGATGACAAAAACAAAGTATTTCAAAACTTTTATTATAGATAGAGACTATTTAGATCTAAAATATGAGTAAAAATTCCATTGATTTTATTTTAGCTTGAGTGAAGCTATTCAGAAAATATCGACCGTTATAGAATTAAAAAAAATGCAATTTTTTAAAGTGGAAGTGAGATTTTAACACTTGACTGTAAAACAAATCAACGTACAAATAAACTTTTTATATAAAAGTAGTTCAGTTTTTAAAAAGCTTTTATAATGTCAGATCGTTTCTTAACAAGCATAACTGCATCGAATAATAAACTAAAAGTAATATTCATTACGGAATTTCATCAAAAATAGAGATGATTGGTACGCAAGTCATGTGTTGAAAGAATACTTCGTATCCAATTGATGAATAACTTATTGAAGAGTTTGTTTTTGCTCATCAATTCTTGTTTGATGACGTATTCCACTATCATTCTTTTATATAAATTTTCGAGTTGACTACTCTAAGAAAGATTTCACGTGTTTAGAGTAATCAATGTTGCTTTAGGAATAGTAATGCTTCCTTTTCAAATAATACCGATCACTCTATTTTTAACGGTAGACTTTGTTTTCTTCACTTTTAAGTGTAAACCCTTTCCGTATGTGGGTAACTGATTGTTAGTTATACCGTTTCGTAAAACAAATTGTTGTTACTTACATGCCAATTCATCTCTTGTATTTATCTAGTACTTTATTTAATGCACATTTATATCGAAATGCTTCTATATACACATATCTCCTTCTTGCCAGTCTAGAATCAAGTGAATTGAATTTCGATGAATGTTACTTATTGACTAAACTCTTCAAGATGAACAAGAATTCTATTTGGTACGTTAAGAATAACAACTTATGTGATTAAATAACATTTCATTTTTTTAAAATAAAATTACTAAATATTTTAAAAAATTGACATATAATAATTATAGTCGATTGAAACAAAAAAAAACAATTTATTTCTGTTAATAGACTGGTGTGAATTTTATTTAATCATTCTTCGTTTTTTTTATTTTATTTTTTTCAATTAATGATTAAGAAATGTAAGAAGACCTTGTTGTTTTAAATTTTGAATGGCAGCTAAAGCATCAGGAATAATAGTAAGAGCTGCATTAATTAAATTTTTCATTAAACTTTCTGCTAATTGTTGAAACATTCTACCCATTGTTTTAACACTTGTTTCAATATTTTGAGTGTATTGATTAAGAATATGTACCCATGTATCACCTTGAATTGTTAGTGCATATGATTCTAATTCTTGTTTCATTTCAACAGCCAATTGATTAATTTTCTTATGAATTTCATCAAGTCGATCATAGAATGCTCGAATTTTATCTTCTATATTTTTTTCACCTTTTTGTAAAGCATCTAAAGCTTCTTTTTCCATTTGAAATAAACCTTCATATAAATCATGAAGAGTCGATTTAAACCGAGCTGTTAATTCAGCATATTTAGTTGAAAGACTATTTTCGGGTAAAATTGAACGACGACCAATAGAACTAACAATATTTCCAAATTTATCATCAAGAAATAGTTGTCCACCTGCAAAAATTAAAAATTAAACGAACATGATATTAGTATTTTTTTAATGAAAAATTAATAAAATAATTTTACCTTCAACTAACATGTCATAAGCTGGACCAAAGACATTATCCCATAGAAAATTAGCAGCAAACTGAACTCCATTGGCTGTATTGACTAATTGTCCATAAACATTACCAGCACTGTCCACTACATTACCAACAACATTATTCACTTGATTTGTAGCACTATTCCATAAATTTGTTGCTGTTTGAGATATTTGATTAGTCACTGATTGGATTGTATTGCCAACATTATTAAATAAATTGCTAATAGTTCCAAGCAAACCATGTGCTGTGCCGACAAGAAGAAGTAAAAGAATCAGTGAACGCATCGTGGTAGAATTTGAAAATGTAAAACAATGTGTAAATGTTGAAAATTTTTCTATTGATATTAAATGGGAAGGATTCTATATGTGACTGATGAGAATATATAACAGGTGGAATATTTAGTAATGGTCCGATTTTCGTCTGATATTAATTTCAACAATACACTTTGTCTATGTTAAGGGAACATTTCCAGATGATATATTTTAATGCAAATTGGGTGAAGATAAAAAAAAATGTGTTTTTGAAAAAGTGCAGACGTGGGCTGTATTTGGATGACAGAAGACTCTGGTTCGATAGTAAGATGTGAGAATGCAAAATTTTGAAAAAACAATATTTGGATTGGCATTCATAGACTTTATTTGTTTTTGTCTTTTCTTTCTTACTATTGACATTATTAGTTGTAATCGTAATATATTTTTATTACAATTGTACGCATTGAAAAACTTTTGTTTTAAAGTCAATATCAAAGATATATCAATTTACAAAAAAAAAAAGAATTGTCATTTAATTAATAAATCTAACATTCATTGACTTGCTTAATCTCAGTATGTAGATTTCATACGACAGGAGATTATGATATTATACGTAAAAGGTCTTGTATTCATATATAAGTATGAAGTATTTATTTATTTGCGTAATTCTATTAGTTACTCGATACTGTTGATAGAAATGTCCTTCTAAATGATACATGAGGGATCTTGAACAATGACGAAAAGAACTTAGTACAAAATGATAGAAGGACAATAGTTAATAATTATCTGTCTTCTAAACTCTTGTATATTTCTGTTTGTATATATATAATCAATCAACTGTTGAATTGCATCATTGAATAACAAGGACTTCTTTTTTCTCTCTCTCTCTCTCTTAAACAACAAATATCATTAGTAAGAAAGATCGAGACAGTGTCATTTTGTTGAGATAAATGGCTTTCGTAAAATATCTATTTTACATTCTTCTTCTATATGGAACAATTTCATTAACATTAACAACTAAACGTCGTCCATTAGTGTTTGTTCTATGTTTAAAAGGCTTTCGATGGGATTTACCATATTCATATTCACATTTACCACATTTTCATCGTCTTTCAACAATAGGTTCAAGAGCATTATGGGTTGAATCAGAATTTGGTGGTAGTCAAACAAATATTCTTAGTCTTATGTCAGGTCTTCATGTTGAACATCATGGACGACGTGATTTTTTTGAAACAATACCTGTTATTAATGAACATGTTGGTGGTCATACACGTCTATTTCATTGGCCATGGTTTGATCGTCAACAAAATCAATCAACTTATGAATATTTACGTGCAGGACGTAAAGGACAACCTGAAATAATTGAAACATATTTAAATCATGGTCGAATGTCTTTACAACGTCTTATAAGATATTTAACATCAATGTTAAATAGTTTAATTGATGAAAATGATCGAACAAATCTTATAATGAGTTTTATTGATGAACCATATACAACATTAATGCGTCATGGTATACATTCTGATAGTATACGTCGAACAATGCTTAATATTGATCGACTTATTGGACGTTTATTATCTGTAACAATAAAAAAAAATATTAATTTAATTATTCTTGGTGATCATGGTATTGAACATATTGATTGTCGTCAAGCAATTAATTTATATAGTATTATAAATCAAAGTCAATTAAATCTTTATACAGATCAATATAGTGGCACTAGTTTTAGTTTTGTAGTTTATCCAAAATCAGGTTATATAAAAAACAATTTTTTTTTTCAATTTTAATAATGAAGATGCCCCGCTCCCTTCAATTTAAGATAAATGCATAATCGAATACTTTAAAGTGTGTATAATATGAATTTGAGTTTTTTTTTTTCTCAAACAAAAGTGAGTTTTTCTTTAAAGAAGTCTATTCTCGCTACATAAACATCAATATTTTGGAACGAAAAGATATTGTTCTTAAAAAAAAAAATCATTTTTCACAAAAGAATTAGTTTTTGCAGGCAAGAGATAATCTGCAGTGTATGCTATCCATATCAGATGACAATTAATAAATAGATCATTCTTAGTTAATGCCTTGAAATGTTTTCATCTTTCAAAAAATTTCTGTCAGAGTTAGTATAACAATTGTAGAAAAAGTTAGTTTACAAACAGTATCAGAAATATCAAATAGTTTATGATTAAGTTTTATAATTACTATTAACTAATATATTATATACATGTCTCATAGATGACGGAACTACGAGACCTAAGTAGGGTCGATCCTATCCTAGATTGGATAGATAAGGAGTTAGATAGGTTCGATTTAATATAAAATAATTTTATTACTGTTGAAGTTTCATTTTCTTCTGACAGATAATACGTTGTTACAAGGTCAGTGCACATATTATCTACTAACAACTCGTGTTCAATAAGCATAGGTGTCGAAGTCACAATACTTGAGGAGTAGACCAAAGTTTACCCTAGATAAATATTGGATCCATACATCGACAAAGACTTAAAATGAGCATCCTTTATTACAATTCAAGAAAAATTGTACGAAAAACCTGAGTCTGGTTCGCTAGAAACTGCTTAAATTTCGTTTGCTTTCGGTGATTGAGATTACATGCTTATTAAACATTCATCAATAGTAGAGATGTCCACAATGCAATATCTTTTTTTGTGAAACAGTTTTGCTTCGCCATTAATGTTTTTTCTGATCAAGTGAATCAGAGTCTCTTCTTTGCAAGATCGCTTTTCGATGAACATAAATGTTCAGATGTTTTTTTCAAATACAGGATCTTTTTTTGTGATCTACACTACTGTATTACACGTTGCAAAATGTGAGTTCGATGACGCGTCTCCATCGGCATTCTATTACATTACGAGATGAAGTGAAATTTTCCTTTTTTTTGTTGTTGTTGTTTGAAAGCTGACATTTAGAGCGAACGATTTTTGTGGCTTTTCTCTCAAACAAAGGATTTTTTNTACCCTAGATAAATATTGGATCCATACATCGACAAAGACTTAAAATGAGCATCCTTTATTACAATTCAAGAAAAATTGTACGAAAAACCTGAGTCTGGTTGGCTAGAAGCTGCTTAAATTTCGTTTGCTTTCGGTGATTGAGATTACATGCTTATTAAACATTCATCAATAGTAGAGATGTCCACAATGCAACATCTTTTTTTGTGAAACAGTTTTGCTTCGCCATTAATGTTTTTTCTGATCAAATGAATCAGAGTCTCTTCTTTGCAAGATCGCTTTTCGATGAACATAAATGTTCAGATGCTTTTTCAAATACGGGATTTTTTTTGTGATCTACACTACTGTATTACACGCTGCAAAATGTGAGTTCGATGACGCGTCTCCATCGGCATTCTATTACATTACGAGATGAAGTGAAATTTTCCTTTTTTGTTGTTGTTGTTTGAAAGCTGACATTTAGAGCGAACGATTTTTGTGGCTTTTCTCTCAAACAAAGGATTTTTTATAATGGATAAGAAAAATCTCTTCGTCGATCAAAACTTCGTTATTTCCATATGTCTCAGTTTTATTGACATTTGTTTGACGTCATGTATTTCTTAAGATGAAGGCAGGAAGAAAATCTAAAAAAACAAAAGGTCCATTAGAGTTACTAGATCCAAATATCTTTTGTAAAATAAAAAAAACGAATTGACTCTTTATCAGTCGTGGTGACAGAATGTTGTTGGGGATCTAGAATTATTCAAAAATGAGTACTATGCATAGATGACAACAACAAATAATCAGATACGAAATTGAAACTGTTTTTGTGTAGATAACTGAGTCTTTCTATTATGCAAACAAAATTTTAGCTCTATAGCATGAAGATCCTGTTGTGAAGGGAGCGAGGAACTCAAAAAAAATCCTTCATTCTAATGTTTTATTTTTATTTTCAAGATTTTACTCAGCAAGTTTTACTGAATCAATTTAAAAAAATTCCTAATGAACAAATACAAATTTATTCAAATGAAGAAAGTAGTCTATTACCAAAACTTCGACTACCAACAATGGCTGATAAACCATCACCAATTATTATATTTCCTCAAGAAAATTTTTATTTTTCATATGATACAGAACAAAATTCAACTAATTGTCATAGAAATAATAAAAATTGTCAACAATCAAGTAATATATATTATTTAATAATTATAAGAATAATCAATATATTTTCTTTATTTTTTTAATTTTTTGTTCCTTCTTATAGTCATAGGAGATCATAGTGATGATCCTCATCATCTATCAATGCGTACAGCATTTTTTGCTTATGGACCATTATTTAAAAAAGGTCATATAAATGAACCTGTTCTTATGACAGATGTATATGCATTATTAAGACAAATTCTTTGTCTTTCACCATTTCCTTCATCAAGAGGAGGTTTATTTCATATACACAATATGCTTGATTTAACATCACTTTCAAATACATGTGCTCATTTATATTTATCAAGTCTTAATATGATTAAATCTGTTTCAACACAAGTGAATAATCAAAATAATACAATTAATAATGATTTAAAATTAGTACAGATTAATATTACAGAAAAATATCAAATACCATATTATCATCATCATCATCTTATACAAATGAGTATTACTATCGATTAAAACGAACGATACTATAGTTCTTTGATCTCAAATTCAGGTTGAAATATTGATTTTTTTTTCTTTTAGTTTTGATGCTTTTTTTTGCTCTTTTGTATTTTTTTTATGCAATAAAAGATATTTATTATATATTACGGTTATAATCATACAAAAGTCGAGACCCTCTTAAACAGACTTTATTTGAAAAGGCAACAGCTGGTAATAAAGAGAAATAAAAGCTCATTTTATGCATATGTGACACACTTGTCAATAACAATTTAATGAATTGTTCTTATTCGAATAGTTATAAAAGAAAGGATCATTGATGTATAAACTAAATGTTCACTAGTGATAGGACTGAGCATGATGATTATCAGTTCAGATAACCAGAATAATAAGCATATTTACCTCATAGATATTGGCACAACTTCTTATCGATGGTTCTTTGATCAAAAGAACCTATACACTCGATTAAGAATTCAGAGAATTACTGAAATGCCGACAAAAACGAAGAATATGAAAATGTTCGTATCAATACAGAAGCAAATGATAACAGCAAATAACTTTCATCAAACTCAAATATCGAAAGCAACACTTCTGGACTTAGTTATATGAGTGATTGAGAGACATTTAAGATATAAATTTGTATAAATCCGTTGTCATCTATATGAAACATATAAATTTGAAAAGCATGTGCCACACTTTTTTTACATAAATATTTTCATCAATCCAATTTCATGATCTTTCAGTAATATTACACTATGATATAATCTATAATGTCTTCTAGCAAACGTTCAAGTATGATGGTAAAATAATAAAAATTCGTTTTAGAAAAAATGGATTACATAAACCATTCCTCATTTTTGAATTTGAGACCAATGGACTGTAGTAGTTGCGCTTTTTTTCCTTATTGCAAATAAGTTTTCTTTTTTTTTTTTTATATACTATATGTTCATATAACAAAATACATACGATTATCCTAGTCGATGTATATAATTTAATAAAGAACGCATAGAGACATTTTATTGTTATTGTTAGTTCATGACAAAATCGATCTATTACATATAATGATCGAGTGAGTAACTTCAATAACCTTGGAATTTCATACAAGCTATGTTTGTTCAATTAATTTTACTCAGTTGTTTATTTTCGTATTGTCGAACTACACAAAATATATCATATGATATATGTGAAAAACGAAATTTATGTCCAGTATGTAAAAAATTTTATTAGAACATAAATACATTGAACTTTGATTATTATTAGAATAAAATGGAATCGTGTCATCCTGTTGTTATGAAATGTCATAATGATTCTTGTCGTTATCTACGTTTTACTTCATGTAATTATTTTTAAATGTATATATATATATATTTGAATATTATTATTGTATTAAATTAATAGATGATGGTGAACGTTTGCTTTTTTCACGTTGGTTTTATGATTCGCATAATCAACGTTGTCGTCGATATAATAATCAAGTAGAAAATTTTGTTTATTTTCAATTTTTACGTGACTGTAGACGATTATGTCCAATTAGACAACAGAAACGAATGGAAAAAATTAGTAAATACTACTTGTTACTTAAAAAAAGAATTCTTTTTTTTTTTCTCGTCTGTTAAAGTTACTCTTCATATATCGGACAATGGTTATTATTATAATGATACTGTTTATGTTCATCTATATATTGATCTTTCTCCAAAATGGATTCAAACACTTGCTGATATAATGAATCTTAGTGCAAGTGCTTTGAAAGCACAACAAAATTATTTTCAAAGTATAACATTTATTTTTTTTAACTAGATGAAATTTTCAATGACTTTTGTTTTTTTTTTTTTTTCTCTTGAAGACTATCGACGTCGTTTTACAAATTTTATAGATCGAACGTATCAGTTTATGCTTGATCGACAAGAAAATATTGAAAAGAAAAATTATTAACCATCATTAATTTTCTCTTTGAACTTTTTTATTAGCTAATATTGTCGCTTTTTATGTTAAATACTCTCCTTACAATAGAAGACTTCATTTAAATAATTAATTTCTCATAAAATTAGAATTTTAATTAGTATGTTTATATTAAAATAGGCTTAGCTTTGAGCTGAGACTTCTTATGAAACTGAGTTCAACATTCTTTTCGAACCTTAGGTTTTTTGAAAAAATAAAATATCTCATCTGAAAACTTTCTATGCTTAGATATAATTGTGTCTTCTATTGTGGAGGAGAGTTTAGTAGCACATTTTTTTCTTGCTTATGTTCATTTTACAGATAAAATAAATAGAAGAAATTATATCATAAAAATGTTTTGTTTGGAATTTGCGAAGAAACAAAATGTTTAGAATTATTTATTTCTTAAATAATATCATCAAATACAATCAACATTAACACATACTTATAAAAGAAGTAGGACATTTTTTTTTCAATGACAAACATTCTTTCCATATTGATTTCTATTAATGATATATAATTTAATTTTACTAAATAAAATTTATGAGATTCTAAATTACATTAGTAAATTAGGATGAATTTCATCAATTGTAAATGTATCGAATACCAAGTTTATATGAACCTTGATCAATCAATATATAATTCAATAGATCTTTGCATCAATCGTCAAGAGTATTGACTGATGTTATATTAAATAGATAAAGATATCATTCGATCATGAGAATATACTTGATGATATGTAAAAGATTGGAAAAAAAGAATTATATGTTCGTCATTTGTCATCTAAATATTCATATAAACAAATGAATGATAAAAATATTCTAGTTTTGTATTAAGTGAATCATCTACCATTCATGTCTCAATTCACAATAGAATATTCTCAATTGATTTTGTCTATTCGACCTTATATGTTTTCGATAAGTAGAACTCTGTGAGACTAGAATAAGCCTGAAAGGATTCATCCTATTAGATTTTCATTTTGTAGTTATGAGCGTTTTACTGAAATTTTGGTTCTACGAAAATTGGTTGATGCAAAAATTAGTCGAGAAGTTTACAATAAAAGAATATCAGTACAGGAGTTATCTCTAGTTCTTCTGATTTTTATCGTAGAATCATGTAAAAATAAAAAAGATGCCAACTGTTTTTCAGAACTTCTCCTCTTAATCAGTAGAAAAACTACAAATAAAGAATGGTTGCTGGTGTGAGTGTTTTTTGTGCTCTCTTCACACTGTGATACCTGCACCCGCACAATCCAGCATTCACATTCACACTCTGGTTTGGCTTATTCGTCTGACTTAAGCTTTTGATTCTGTTATCATCGATTTTTCGCTTTCTCCCTCTATTTCTTTGTTTCATTCTACCCTATTATGTAAACGAACACCATTGACGATTATTCATCTAATATATATAAATATATAAAAGTTGGATATTGCTCATTGATCATTTCTGATAAGTTAAGTTGCTTATTCATTAACTAACTTACTTCGCTCGATACAATAAAAGCAAAAAAGATAGCTAATGACTGAAAGAGAAGTAGATATATTTTTAGAGACTTTCGATATAATTAAATAATATTCTTAACAAATGAAAAATTATTCTTCTTTCCTTTAGAATGATGATGGTAATTTGAAACAAAAAATGAAAGAGCTTGTAAATGCTTATGAAAATGGCTTGATTACTGCTGAACAATATGTCTATCATACGAAACAAATCATTATATAATACAGCTCATCAAGTTGAAATTGATCAATCTAAAAAAAAGATAAACTTTTGTATGTCATAGTGCACTCTATTTTTTTTTGATAAATCTGATCGTAAATTCAATTGTTTTTCTTTTTTATTAGCGTGCACTGTTGTTATTTAATATGTAAATATATGTGATTAAATTTGGCTATAAGAAAAAAAAAGAAATGAAACTTTAAGTTTTTATTTATTTATGTTCTTTGTCTAGATATAAAGCAAAAAAAGTCTTATGGCTCGTTGTTGTGAAAAAAAAACCTATGTTCATCTGAGTAGAATCAATCTAGAGAAAAATTCTGAGTTGTTCAATAGTTATCGATATATAAAGATGGAAAACTAGATTTGCTATGTATATCGAATTTCTTCCGATAATCTAATCGTACAGATCTCGAGTTGACATTCAAATGTAGTCAACATTTACCGGTACAAGTCAAAGTTGTAATCGGTCTAGAAATATTAGATCGATCCGGTCCAGTCGGTCTAAAAATAGTTAAGGACCGGTAGAAATCAGCGAGTTCACGAAGTTTTTTCATATGATAAAAGTCATATTAGGGGCGAAATTTCATTCTAAACGCTTAAAGACTTTTACCTAGGAGAAAACAGCTGAGTTTTTTAAATTTTTTATCAATTTTTAAACGAAAATAATAAATATCACAAAAAAAATCAAAATATCACTCATTCAAAAAGACCTGATCTTGAACATTTTGTGTCTTGTTTTTAAGTATTTTCTTATTATTGAAATGTATAGGTAGAAAATAGTTATTAAAAAAAGACGTTCAGCACATTTAGAGGATTAGGTTTTTTTATAATAACTATAAAAAGATGATGTTTTTGATTTTTCCGGTTATTTTGATTTCCTTCAAACATTTTATTTTCTTGATTTTTTTGTTTAAATTGATCTTCTTTGCGTGAAAATAAAAAAAACAACAGTTTGCTCTTAGTTTTATAATGAAAACATCCGATTAAACAGTTTATTCGAAAAAAAATCTAGTTTCAGCTCTTTCTCTTATTTTTCAGGCTTATCTTTTCTGTAAAATTTATATTGCATTGAGCTTTATTCCCAATTCGTTTATAAGTTTTCAGATTAGAAAACTAGGGGGCAACCCAAGCTTGTGACCGATCGAGATCGTTGGCACAGTTCGATTTACCCGTCGAAGTTATAGAGCTAGCAGATAGTCATTTTAGTTGAATTTCTTTCAATAAGCGAACAAGTACTACTTAAAAATCGGTTTCTCTCAAAATTCATCAGTGTAGTGAATTATTTTGATAGAAAGTCGAATACTTTGAAATTTTAGTAGACTAGTCTCTCACCTCGTTCTAATCGATATTAATGGAGGTTT